ACACTTTACAGTAAAGGATGCTGCTGAAGTAAACTAATTTTTATAAACTTCTCATCAAGCTTAACAATATGTCTTCCACTTTCATGGGCTTCCTCCCTCAGAAAAATGAAAGCATTCATTATCTGACCTTCTGTTCCTGCCAGTGTGGCTGTGAGTGTGTGGATTGTCTGGCCAGAGCTGGGAGCTCTGTGCTACAAGCTTCCCTTCCATGCAAGATCCACCACGATCTACAGGCTACAGCACTTGGTAGCTCTCAGGTTGATCTGAAGAACCTAGACCAACTCCAGATACCTACCTGAATCTAGCTCAGGACACCTCTTTCCCAAGAGCAGATGTTTCTGAGGCTATAGCTAAGTGCCCAAGAAAGTTGATACAGTTCTCCAGAAGCCTTTCAAAAGCTGAACAACAGCAATTTTTTCTGAGATTTTCTAAAGGCAGAGTTAAAGATACTGCCAGGGAACTTCATGTGAAGACAATATCATGCATTTAAATGCAGAAAGAGAAGCATATATGACAGCCTGATAATTTTCAGTGTCTGTGGAGGCTAGAAATTTGAAAACTATGAGACTATACTGCTGTCTATTATTTAAATGGTCTAGATCCTATGCTAGGTCCCACCCTAGGAAAAAAAAGGCTAAGAAAACACTGTTGCTAGTACACTCTTACCTGATTCCAAACTGAAACCCATATTAATCAAACATACTGTACTGATCAGTAGGACTCAACTGAAATTCCCCTCAGCAGCTCTATTTTAATGTGAACCTGATGCATACTTTCTCTCTGCTTTACATAAAAATTACTCTGGCTTATTCAGTATTGGCAGAAGCCTTTTCACATACTGTGTCATTTCACTTATCGTATCAGTTGTTGCAGAAGAGCAAGGAACAATTTGAAGGCTATTGCATTGCACCTTTATTTTCTGCCTCAGTTGTATGCTCATTTTATGCAGAATTCCTCACACTGCTGGCAGTAATAAGTAATGAGATGGTGCACAGGGAAAAAAAAACGCCACTTTTTAGTGAAAATTAGTGAACATACTGGGAAACAACTACATTTTCAGGAGATTGCTCCCAGTCCTTGTACCCCAAAACTTAGAAACAACAGCATCTGGCGGAGGTTGTTAAGACTGCATCATTAACTCAAGGAATGTTTTACTATTCATTGCATCAACAGATTCAAATGCCTTATGTCCAGCCCATAGGAAAGAAATTTAAATCTGTCCATTCTTTTAGAAAAAAATGCCATTTAAAAGGAAATATTTTTAAAGATTAAGAGGATCTGGATTTTCATGTGCTTTTGTAGTACCATAGCTAAATTACATAACCTGCCAGAATCTGTCATTTAACAGAGTGTATTCTGAAATGCAGGTTAAAAAATATTGTGTCAAGAACTGTGGTCATAGATTAATCACTTGGAGCATGCACATTTTCTGGGCCTTTCAGTCCAGAATATGGTTTAGAAATATCACATAATAGGAAGTTCTGCTGGGAAAGATTCAGTCAGTGATGTTTTCTTTACACTTCTGTAGCAGCATAACCAGCCTAGCAGTTTGCTACAAGTCTTTCTTACAAACTCTGCTTCTCTTAATACAATCTACATCTGTTCTATGAGAATTTACAGGCATAGTTATGCCTGCAAAATGTTCCTCATGTAGACTCAGAATATGGAGTTCTTTTTAACTTCTTTTTTTCATAGTTGCTCTTGTTCTTCCAAGTTTTCCCCTGGCATTTTTTGCCTAATGAGTTGTGAAATCTAATCAATTGCAATAATTAAAACATACTGTGTGTAGAACGATGCACCGCTTTAATTACACAACAAAGTCCCCAACAAATAAAAGCTTGAGATTCTTACATTAGAAGAAACCAAACTGCTTTACTTTGCTGTATTTTTTTTTCATGAAGAACAGACTCATGCTTATAGATGATATGTATAAAACACTTAAAATTCTTGCTATACTGCATATTTTATTAAAAGATCTGGGCGAGGTCAGGCTTGTGTGTTAGCAGCATATGAAGCAGCCACGAAGGAATGGCTGGAACAAACAAATAGTTGCTTCTTTTCAATAAAACACCCTGGGTGGCAACTCTGAACAGGAAAGTTTTGTGTCCAAGGTCTATAAAATGCATGGAGTTTTAGCAATGTCACATGGTGCAAGAGGGGGTGCTATTCACCGACTCATCTCTTTTCTAGGACCTTTCATATGCTGGTAAACATTTAGGCATGAAATAAATCCCTTATGACAAACTGAAATGCCAGTGTTTCCTAATTAAAATCAGTTTGATGACAGTTGGGCAGATACATTCTTACAGTTTTCTTTTTTTCTAAGAACAATGCATGTCAAGCAATTGGGTCCTGGTATTACGCAGCTTTTTCCAATCCTGTTATTTACATTCTGATTCTGGTCCCAGTGAGGCTCCATCAGCATGAGAGAAACTGCAAACTCAACTGTTCAGACCTATGCCTTTTTCATTTCTTCTGTAAATTCTGAAAGTATAATTATGCTATTGAGTACTTTAGAGACTCAAGCCTGCATTAGCTATTTCACAGTCATTTAGGTGAAGTGAATAACCTAGTACACCTTATTTAAGTTTCCAGTGAAATCTGATACAGGTGACTTTCACAGTTTGAAAGGTAGTTATTGCTCATTTACAGTGCTGTCCTTTGTCTGCCTCAGTCCTAGCTACAAATTTCATTAATCAGCCCTGCCTACATATGCATTGTTATTGCCCTCATTCTTTTTAGCCATAAGGTTGGCTTCTTTTGCTGATGTTGGTATCAGCAGTTTTAAAGGACTGTATAGCCCACCTAAATAGGATAGATTAACCTAAGGATGTTTTCTGAATGGGCTGTATGAAGAATGAAGACAGATGGTCACTCACTTGTCAGGAGAAATGGATGGATCCTATTTCTCCAATAAATATAGTTAAAAAAAAAAAAAAAAAAAAGACAGAAGCAGCACTGGTAGAGAAAAATTCAAATAATTGTTTCAATGCTTTAGAATATGAAAGGTGATACCTGTTCTGTACTATTAGTAGCTGAAAAAGGCCAGAGATAGTACATAATTACAACATGATGCCAAATACACACCACACCATGAGTAATTTCTGTTTGTGCTTAGAGAGCTGAATATCCTCTTAATAGCCCATAGATGAAACAAGTTAACTGCCATTTTTCTCAAAGCTACAGTGAGGTGGCCTTTCTATCTCTAGAGCCTCTATCACCACTGTGACCAGTCTCTCTGCATACACTCCTCACACTTGTATTCTTCTCAGCTGCTTTTCACTCTTCTTGGGTGTTCCAGCAATTTTGTCAGACCTAATGTGTCCTTGGAACATCACCAAATGGATTTAACAGTACCAATTCTGAGAAATGAAAGTAAATGCTTTTATGAATGAGCTTAAACTGAGCTTTAAAACAGAAAACAATTTATTTTATTGTTTCTAATAAAAATCTGGATTTAATTAGGACTTCCAAAACAATATATTTTTTTCTAAGTGTTATAATGATTTTTGTATCATTTTAACACTTTGCTCACTGTCTCAAAGCTGCTTATATTCCTTAGAGTATAAATAACTAAACTTTCTGGAAAGACTGTGAAGTTTTCTGATTTTTATTTTTTTCTCATAATGTTGGTTCTGTAAAAGACAATAATCAGCTATTCCAGGCTTGTGTCAGGAATAGTGTGGCCAGCAGTACCAGGGCAGCAATCCTGTACTTGGCACTGCTGAGGCCTTACCTTAAGTCCTGTGTTCAGTTCTGAGTCCCTCACTACAAGAAACACTTTGAGATGCTGGAGTGTGTCCAGAGAAGGGCAACAAAGCACAGAGCAGCTTACAAGTGTTATGATGAGCAGCTGAGGGAGCTGGAGTTGTTTAGCCTGGAAAAAAAGGAGGCTCAGGAGAGACTTTATCACTCCTTACAAATGCCTGAAAGGAGGCTGTAGCCATGTGGGGGTCAGCTGTCCTCACAGGCAACCAGTGGCAAGATGAAAGGATATGGCCTCAAGCTGTGCCAGGGGAAGTTCAGGTTGAACATCAGGAAGAATTTCTTCACTCAAAGGCTTGACAGGCATTTGAACAGGCTGCCTAAGGAGTCAGCAGGTCTTGAAACATTCAGGAAACAAGTGGTGTGGCACTTAGTGCTATGGTTTAGTTGGCATGGTGGTGTTCAGTCAAACATTGGACTTGAGGGTCTTGGAGATCTCTTTCAGCATTAATGTTTCTGTGATTCTGTGATTCTAAGATTCTATGAAAGTGAGTGATGAAATATATTATAAAACCTATCTTCTTAGACAGAAAACAAAATTTTGTTTCTTGGAAGCCTTTGTCTACTTACACATCTTAATAATTATGAGAAACTCAGTTCTCCTTCATACTTATTACCTTTTAAAATCTTGCTTTCAACCTAATTCAGGACCAATACTTTCAATTCTTGTAGCATCTGAAATTTGTCCAGACATGACAATTCGGCAGGACTAGTCTTCTTCTTAACTTTTTCTTCTTAACTTTTCAGGTCATAAATTTATGCCTGTCTAGGAAAGTGTGCATTATGAAGTGCTGAATTACCCTCTTACACATGGTATTCCCAAATCAATTCTCCACACTATGTAAAGTTTTACATAATTACAATTAATGCAGAAAATTCATAATGTTCTGCACATTAGCAGGAACTATGTATCTTTCACTCGGTGACTTGCACTAATAAACATCACCTCCTATTGTAATTTAAAAATGGTAAGACCAGTCATGGCCTGCTTTCTGAAATGAATTGGCCTACTGCAGGCAGTAAAGCAATCAGGTTTTGGCCTTGTCTAAGATGAGTCTAATGTTTTCTCTGTGCGAAATTCAAAACAATAAAACAAAATAATGAATGCAGCCATGAAAACAGCTTCCACCATTCTGTGTTTATTTGACACATGTACATTTGAAAGGATTTAATCAAACCCTGACAAGTACACTTGTATCAGTCTAACCAAAAACATTTTTTATTTTGTTTTACAGATTTTGGCCATTGTGTCCATTCTGTTCATCGTCCTGTCCACTATTGCTTTGTCTCTTAACACACTGCCAGAACTTCAAGAAATAGATGAATTTGGGCAGCCAAATGACAACCCTCAGCTAGCACACGTTGAAGCTGTGTGTATTGCTTGGTTTACCATGGAGTATCTTTTGCGTTTTCTGTCCTCACCAAATAAGTGGAAGTTCTTCAAAGGCCCATTAAATGTCATTGACTTACTGGCTATCTTGCCGTACTATGTCACCATTTTTCTCACAGAGTCCAACAAAAGTGTCCTGCAGTTCCAAAATGTCAGACGCGTGGTTCAGATATTTCGAATTATGAGGATCCTAAGGATTCTTAAGCTCGCCAGACATTCAACAGGCCTTCAGTCTTTAGGCTTTACGCTCAGGCGGAGTTACAATGAATTGGGCTTGTTGATATTATTTTTAGCCATGGGCATAATGATATTTTCAAGTCTTGTATTCTTTGCTGAAAAGGACGAGGATGCTACAAAATTTACAAGTATTCCTGCATCATTCTGGTGGGCAACAATCACTATGACTACTGTAGGATATGGTGACATTTATCCTAAGACCTTATTAGGTAAAATAGTTGGAGGACTTTGCTGTATTGCTGGAGTGCTGGTCATAGCCTTGCCCATACCAATTATTGTGAACAATTTCTCAGAGTTTTATAAGGAGCAGAAAAGACAGGAGAAGGCAATTAAGAGGAGAGAAGCACTTGAGCGAGCTAAAAGAAATGGCAGTATTGTCTCCATGAATCTGAAAGATGCCTTTGCTCGCAGTATGGAAATGATAGATGTAGCGGTAGATTCAGGAAAGCTTGGAGAACCACTCAGTCCAAAGGAGACACCTGATGACAGCCACCTGTCCCCAAGCCGGTGGAAATGGGCCAGAAGGACAATGTCTGAAACAAGCTCAAACAAATCTTACGAAAACAAGTACCAAGAAGTTAGTCAACAGGACTCCCATGAGCAATTGAACAACGCTGCAGCATCCTCCAGCCCACAGCACCTCAGTGCCCAAAAACTGGAGATGCTGTATAATGAAATTACTAAAACTCAGTCTCAGCCTAATCTCAATGCTGGTTACCAAGACCAGTCAGCAAAGCCACCCAGGTATGAGGAAGAAATAGAAATGGAAGAAGTCATAGGTCAGAGAGATCCGTTGCCAACTGGGCCTGCAGACGTTGTCATGGACATGAGAAGCACATCCAGTATCGACAGTTTTGCCAGTTGTGCAACTGACTTCACAGAAACAGAGAGGTCTCCCCTCTCTCTGTTTCCTGGCTCTCACTTGCAAATGAGATTTCCAACAGATGCCATTAACCTGGAAGAAAACCAAAGAGCAAGAAGTTCTCAGTTCATACCATTTGCAAAAGACAGAGGATTTTCTCCAACCGACGTCACCTTTGACTATAATCCAATCAACAGAGCTGTTATCAGTGATGGCAGTGGGTCCCAAACTGTTTCACATGGTCATTTTCATTTTGACACTGCCATGGAAAGCCCCAAAAGCTCCCTGAAAGGTAGCAACCCATTAAAATCTAGATCCCTTAAAGTTAATTTTAAAGACAATAGGGGTGGCGCTCCACAAACTCCACCAAGCACTGCAAGGCCACTGCCAGTGACAGCAGCAGCAGACTTCACACAGGCCACCCCTCAGCACATCAGCACCATTCTCCTAGAAGAAAATTCCCCCCAAGGTGAACGGCCTGTACTTGGTGCTGACGCATCTGCACTTTGTCAGGGACCTGCTAAAAAGTCATCCCCACTCTTTCCCAAACAAAAAATTTTCACTTTCCCTTCAAAAGAGAGGAGGAGCTTCACTGAAATAGACACTGGAGAAGAAGAAGAGTTTATGGAGTTACAGGGTGTGAAACATGAGAAAAAACAGGATATCAAGACAAATTGCTGTGGGGATAAACATAGTGATGGCAACAATTTAACAGGGGAGCCACAGGTCAGCTCTTCACCCAAAAGCATGAGCCACAACTGTACTCAAGACATTTACCGTGCTGTGGGTGAGGTAAAGCCAGACAATAATCAAGAAGGTCACAAAATGGAAAACCATTTATTTGCTCCAGAAATTCATTCAAGTCCAGGAGAAACTGGTTATTGTCCTACACGTGAAACTAGCATGTGACTAGTTACAGAAGCAATAAAAACATCTTTTCTTAAAACAGTTAGTAATGCCTATGAACTAAAACATGGAAAGCCTCCACAAAAGTGCATAAAATGTTATTTTTGCATGGCATGAAGAGTTGTTTAGTTTAAATACTGTTTAATTAAAAAAAAAAAAGACTGCTTTTGTAACAAACTGAAAAAAACAGGGAAAAAATTACTCAAGAATGGTGAATACAATAAAGAGAGCTTTATTAGGAGCCAGTGGTCTGCAACATCTGACATTTTTGATCCTTTCACTTATGATTGTAGACAGGTTTTGAACTCTTTTAACTTTTTTTTTTTTTCCTTGGTTACAATGAATTTTAGAATTTGCACATGAAAGGATGAAATGTCAATGCATGCATTCATAAGGATGTGAAACAAGGTGCTTTGAGCTTGCAAAATGCATATACTTGTAAATAGTTTGGGGTTGGGGGGAAAGCTACTGTTAACAAGGATTTATGGAAAAAGCATTTCCTGGGACACAGATACTTCCTTCACAGCGTGCTGCCTGGAGGTTTTGTACAGACTTATGTTGCAAAATTGCAACTTCTACTTAAAGCATCTTACGTCTCTTGCTTTCTGTTAAAAAGCTCATGAGTATATCTGTTAATTAAGGACTACAGTATTTTAGTTTACCTGTGCTATAAATCATGATGTTTTTGGTTTTTTTTTTACTTGCAGAACTTCAGTTATTGCATTTGTCAGTTTAATTAATGACCCTGTGAGGAAAAGTAAAGATTTAATGACCAGAACATGAAGCATTTGATATTTTTATAGAAAACTGCCAACATTTCATATCTGAGAAAAAAAAAATCCATTTTAAAATTTAAAACTCATAGTTATTTCTGCGGCAATAAATAGTGCCAAATGGCTATTCAGATATAACCAAAAAGTTTTTCGACCTCATAGAATATACCTTGGTATTAAAAAAAATATTTCCCACACTCTTATTTTTCCTTTGATTTAACACTGTTTGCTTCTACATGATCTTTGATCTCATACCTTTTGTTCTCCACACAATGCTCATTCTTCACTAATGGCAATGTTGTTGAAGCTTCTATGGTGTAAGGACATAAGGGATGGGGCAAAGTGGTACCTTTTGTTATCACAAATCATATAGCTGGAGAAAAAATGTTTCAAATATATGTGATTTGCCTCAGGTCTTCCATGCTCCAAAGCTTATTTGTGTTTTTCTGTTCAATCGTTTGGACTGACAGAAGATATCACTTGACTCACCAACTTTGCCTCAACCCATCCTTCCATAGCTGTTCTGAAATGGAGTGCAGGATTTCCACTATACTTAAATAAAGGAAAATGTCAATCATTCCACTGACAACTGCCAAAGCATTTTTCGTTTCTCTGATTTCTCCAGCTTCCCAGTAAAAGAAAGATGCTGAACCAAAGCCTTCATTACAAAGTACTCATCTAACCGCTGTCTCGAAAAAGCTATTTTTAATTTTATCCAGAATCCCTAAATTTCTGTGCTACAAACTGTTTTTTAAAAAAGCTTGTAGATTTCTTTAATGCCCTAAATCATAAAAAGTTTATTTAATTCATGAATTTTAACCATAAGCAAATGTATGTAGTTACACAGACATGTCCTAAAATATGTTCCTCCTTTTCTGGGCTGATTCCACAGATCTCACTCAAGCCTGGCACATAGAAAAGAGGCAAGTTTGAAGAGCCCCAAAATATTGATCCTGGTAGCTGGGCCAAACAATGAGCACAGCACAATCATTTCAGTGGGTTTTTTTTTAAAAAGTTTTCTTCTATATTTCCATCAGTTTTCTTATTTTTATAACAAGATAATATTGAATTATCTCTTCAGTCGTTCGAGTAACTAAGAGTATAATGTGGTTATTTTTTTTCAAACAATGTCTGGTCATTAATTCTCAAAATAAAAATGATTATTTTTTGTCTTTAATTGGAGTTCATTTCAACTTGTTGCTGCATTCAGTTTTATGTATTTATATTGTATTCTCCGTAACACTTTTCAATCATGTTATGTCTCACTGTCCCAAATTTAGCTCTTTAATATTTTATAGTCATTAATCTTCTACATTTATTTTTTAGTTTCTAGATATTTTTGGTGACTAAAACTAAATGCCAGTCAATTTTTATATGCCTGAAGTGTTGGTTTGTATTTTCTATGTGCAGTTTTATGAAATCACATGGGCCTGTTTGATCTGCCTTTACATCCTAGTGAACTGTTGAAGTCCAAATTAAGACTAAATGGGACCTGATCCCATGCTCTGGATCCACAGAAAATTCCCATTCAAGACAATGACGCTGTTCTGGCAAGACTGAGGTCTGTGTCATGTTCCTTCTGTGTGCTTTTTCTCCCAGGTGACCCTTACACTTTGGAAAAGCCCCTTAGACCTACGCCACTTGGAAATGGCAAGGGCAGGAGTCCAGCCATAGGAAACATATTGCAGGAACAGAGATTTAATTCCTTAAGCTCTCCCGAGCTCAACTTCATACAAACCTGATTCTGGCCTATTAAAATCACTAGAAGTTTAAAAGGAGTAAAGTCAAGGCCTCAATCCTTGTGCAGATGAATTTCCCCCTGAAACCAATGGGAGTCTGATGGAAAAAGGGACTGACTGAAATATGATTGAGAGGAATGATAGTCTCTCCCTCTTGATGAAAACCAACAGGAGCTTTAACTATATAAATCAGATGAAAGACCAGGCCCTTATTTGCTGCTGTATTTTAAATGTTTTCAGAGAAGCACATTTATTTTGAAAGCAAAAGAAATGCAATTCACTTTATTAACAGATGCTTTATTTTTTTTAAATACTGGAAGCAAAATGATTAAGCTTTAGAAGTGCTATTGGTGTAATTTTGTTATCTACTTTTGACTATGCTGAAAACTATTTCCAGAAGCACAGGTTTAGACATGTGGTTTTTCCAGTCCTGACTGCATGCACAGGATCCACCTCTGAATACCTGACTTGTATAATTCCTGATTAAAACATCAACTTGAGCAGTTGCAGGACTGGGTCTAGCTTTCTATCCAGTACAGCAGGTGTAAGTGCAGGCCAGGATCACTCCATTCATCATGAATTGATATGCAGCAAATTATGCAAAATTACACAAGTATATTTTTCTGGTTTTTCTAAAACTTTGAAGCCATTTCGGACTTACTACCCATTCACCACAGTAAGGGGAGAATGTGTCTGAGCTCTGGAGTCAGTCTCTAATGCCAGCTGTGCAATTTCAAAACAACTTAAGGAGTCTCAGAAAGAAGTGACTCCTTTGTGCATCTGAAAGGGGTCTGACTCCTTGCATCACTGGAAAATGAAGAATGTTCAGGGAGATAGCTTTGCAATTGATCTATTTTTTATATTTTTTACTAACTGCAGAATCCTGAATCAAAGTTTTAATTCCTTTTTCAATGATGAAACCAAATGCACATATTTAAAAAATGTTCTAATGAGTAATTAGAAAGAGTTTTTGAGTAATAATCACATTAATCCAAATCTAGGTGGCGGGTGGGGGGAATAATGTATCGCACAAACTGCAAAGGAAGTTCCTACAGGAAAGCTGTTTACAGGGGAAGTATGAAATGTAAAGAATGTAACATGGTGTAGGAAGTTTTTGCACTACCGAATTTATATAAAATACACTTTTTTTAAATGAAAACACAAAAGGCCTTTTAATGCTACATGGTATAGACTATAGAAGCCTCTGTGCTAATGCAGCAGTCTAATGCACTGTGTCCTCAACTTCACAATTGGTCTCAAAATTCAAACATTAGTGTTGTTAGAGAGGTGATATCTGATCTAACACTAGAGCAATGGACATGAAGAGCCTTTTAGCACACTATTATGTAACTCAAAATGTGTATAGACAGTTGTATTTTTGCCTATAACATTCATAAATCAAAATAACGATTGGCTTCATGAGTCATTTCCTAACAGGTAATACTGGGCAATGTATTTGTATTTCTTGAAAAACAATGAGTTCTTTTAAAAGTAGACCCCTTCCCCTACATGTTATCTGAGCTTCTGTCTCCTTCAAGATTTACCTTCAAGTTATTTAAATAAGTGCTTCAATCTCATCTCTAAACTGCAGTCCAGTAAAAAAGCCAGTTTTTCTTCTTGAATCTCAATTGCATACAGTCAGATTGGTAAAAATGTCCAGAGTTTAACTGATTGGCTTTTTGATTCAAATACCTTTTGAATCACTTGGATAGAAAATATACATTTTGATCAGGCAAACATATATTAGAAGTAAAATAATGCAACAAATATGCCTTTGTTTTCCTAAGTCTCCAGCACAGATCAAGCAAGAAATGCAAATACAACAAAGGGGGAAAGAAGGGCAGAAAACCGTAAGTAAACAAGGCACATTTTAGTGTACTATATAAAAAGAGACATAATAAAATGTAAAGGAATCCTTGTTCACACTAAATGAAGTAAAAATGCCAGTAACAAAAGATTTAATTCCACTTCTTCTCCATCATAATTTTAAACCTAGAACCAACAGGTTCAGCAATGCTATTTTCCAGTCACCTGTCACATGAATATTTGATCTGTAATCATTTTTCAGAAAACTTTGCTGAAAAATAAGGTCTCACATGTTGGTGTCTCTGCTGATCTTTGGATCTCTTGCGCTTTCCCTCCCAACATCAACCTTCTCTTCTTCTAGGGAGTGGTCAGAAAGCAACGCACCCAACAAGATGATAGGTGTGTCTTGCTTGTCAGGAAAATGTTTTGGTAGTGTGGTAGATGATGCATTTGAACCAAGGAACAAGAACTGAATGTCACTTCTCCCTGTTTTCTAGTTGTAAAGTGCTCTGAATTCTCCAGTGTACCCACTGGAGAATCACCAGGATCACCCTTCATGCAAGAGCTTTCAGTGTTCTTGCAATAACTTTTTTAAAAGCAGTTGACTGGTAAATGCTATTAAGAGAGCCATTGGTCTAAGTGTGAATACTTGTCTTTTGTCCAGCCTGGTTTTATTAGTGGTACTCAGCTTTAATTCCAGCTGAAATGCTTTCTAAAACAGATCAGGTGTTCTGGGAGACAAACCCTTTGCAGGTTCTCTGCCAGTTTCCTTAGCCAACTGGCAGGCAAAAATGAAAGAAAAAATTTGTTTGCATTGTGTGGTGGTTTTTCTTGTTCAGTGATCATACACCATGGGACATCTGCAGGGGGGTAGTATACTTGTTTTTGTATTTATTTTGTTCCAGGTTTAAACAGTATTTTTTTGAATGCTGAATTATGATATTTAGGAAGAATTACCCTTTAGTAAAATTGAGATTTCCACCAAAAGAGCAGTGGTAATCCTATATTATTATTGATTGATACTTAGTTTTCTTTTTGACAAATAATGCATATCCTGATGAATACCACTTTGGAACAAGGAAGCAGCACACAAATATTACTGTTCTTTTTACTTAAAAGTAACTAAAAAACATAGTATTAGCTAACATTTAATCCAAAATTATTATTATAAGGCTATTAGTTGATTATACCTATCAGCTAAACAGAATGGTGACCTGTCATTACCTGAGACATTGACTGTAGTCCTGTGATTAACATAAACCATGAATCTAAGAGCAGTCTGTGTAATTAATTTCATTAGGGCAATTTTTTAACTCAAATAACTATTTAAATACATATTTAGCATCAACAGGAATAATGTATGTTTCTAAATCTGGAAGTCTCTGGCTATGTTTACACTGGCATCTTAGAGAAAATCAGGAGAGCTCTCTTGACATGAATCTCTCAGCTACCCCTGCTTCTCATGCTTTGCTTCACACAACCAAGCAATCCTGCACCATGCAAATTGCTTCTACTTTTAGGTGAGGCTGAACCAGAAAACTTCTTCCATGCACCAGCTATGCTGCAGGCAGGACAAAGCATTCAGGCCCTGATAACAGATGAGAATGAGTCCAAAAATTGTACCTGGATAGTGTAAACTGTCAGCACACTGTTTTCCTCAACAAATCTGCTTGTATTGTACAACTTGCTAATGTAGACATAGATCTCTACAATGGTTACTGTCTTCAGTCCATGTAGCTCTTGGCTAAATCACTTATTCAAGCAAATTTTGCTGTTTCCATCAGTGGTATTGCATAAAAAAAGCAATATATAGCCAAAGTTTAAATTGTTCTCAGTGCGTTCCCCAAGTCAACCCACATAAAATCATTTAAACAACAAATTCCTGATACCCTTTGGATAGTAGTGTTTAGTAGTTTGGACCAAACTCTGTATACTGCATATTTCTTCAGTCAATTTACTCTAAAGTTGGTGTTACACTTGATGAAGACAGTACAGACAGCACTAGACTTACTCCAGAATCAGTGGAATGATTAAACTGATTGCAAATAGCTTTATTTCACTTAACAGTAACCCTTATTTTATACCACTATGAATAAAAGCAAATTGTTGTTCATTGATGGAGGATCAGAAGCCCAGGTTGAGTATTTTGTGCCTATTTGCCATGTCTAGATATCTTCCTATTTGGATCAACAGCTAAAATGATTTAAATTGAGAAACTAGTAAGGTTTGGGTTGCGTGCTCTGTTGCTCTGATGTCTGGGGCATACCTTGTACAGTAATGAAAGGAACAAAAAGCCAATTCCTTATCTTACGTCTTTTAACCATTTCAAGGTGGAGGACATAAGTCTTGTAGTGATATCTTTGCTCTAAGTTTTGCTCAGATAGCATCTCTCTGTGAAGGTTCAGAATACAAAACATTTATGCCTGTTCTTGAAGTCCTTAAGCAGAACACCAGTGGGAATTCTGCCTGTATAAAACTGAAGGATGGAGCAATATATTATAGTGTTAGGCAAAAGGAACAGTTCCTAACACACTACAAAACACATTAAACAAAAAAACAACCTACTGTTGGGGACAATCATGGGTACTTCTACTAGGATGTAGAGTTCTGGATTTATATGTCTATATTATCAGAGTTCTGCAGAGTTTCACCTGTACAACTCTCAAAAATCAAAGGAGCCATGCTGATAAGCTGAAACATGGAGGGATTAGTGTACAAAGAAGCTGATCATTGAATACATAGCCTATTGCTTTAAGATCACTGTAAATATCAAATTAAATATGTACTTATTCATGTTTATATGTTATTACTGTGTTAGTTTCATAGATACGGTAGCATGACTATTACTAGTTTTATGGAGTTTAATGAACTTTACTTTGTATTCCTCTGTGAATGCTCTGAATGCTGCAAACAAAAAAAGCACAACAGTATTTTTTCAAGTTCTCTTGGGGCAATAGCAGTGTCTTCACTATTGTTCAGTTTTACAGATTTAGCAACATTTCATCATACATTACTCTACTAATAATGTATCTTTCTTTAAAAGTACTGTCACTAGGAGAGAAAAGCATATGTGATAAGTCTTGTCTAATCTCATTCATCTGCCTTTACAAAATGCCCCAGACATTTTGTGGGAGAATATGCTGCTTTTGCTTCATGCATTGTTTGTATTTGGGGGTGGGGCAGGGGAATAATAGGGCATTTTGCAATGGTAATTGCATCAACCATGCTTTTTTTCATTATTATTGTATTTGTTAGAAACATTTTGATTTAGTTTCTTTCCATAGATAAAACTTTGACAATAGCTTTATTTTTTCAACTAAACATTTGATTTCATTAGACTAATAATTTCTCACATTTAGTGGTATTCGTATGAATGTTTCCATATCAGCTGCATTTTAACTTCATAAAAAAGGAAATGTGATTATTATTTTTGTCATACTAGATTTTGCTGATCAACTAAGTATTTCTGCACCAATCTACATATTAATATGCATGTTGTAGTCTGTACAATTGTTCAACATCAAAATACCTGTTTAATTTATGTCAAATGTCTTTAAAATAAATGCATTGTTCTCCATTTCAGTCTGATAGAATAAGCAGGATAGTAAATAAATGTGTAAATGAATCATTTGTGTCTCATTTCAGTTCTCTTCATGAAACCGCTTTACATTGAACATTGCATATATACCAAAACAATAATCCATACTGTCTTTAGGTGTCATTACTTAAAATTATACAGGGATCTCTGGCAGACAGTGTGTACAGAAATAAATCACTTGTCTATGCAAATAAAGTCAGAATCCATTCTTTTTTAAAAAAAAATTAAATGTAGTGATTCTAAGCCTTTTTCTTCCCTCTTTGTTCAGAATTACTGGTAATTACTACTCCCACTGTCATAGATACAAAGCCTCAAATGACTTCTGAGGGTGAGTAAATAGTATTGCCTGTAGGATGGAAAGCAGAAGCATGGAAAGATTTAGCACCCCTTTTTTTGGCTAGTCCAACCTAGGTACCTCAGCCTAATATTCAGGCAGAGTGGATAAACCAATCTCTTGTCCACCTTAAAACAAGAAATAATCTAGGTTACAGTGGAAATTATTTTACTCCTTTAAGATGAATCATGAAACTCACAAATTTTTTTACAGACAAAATTTTGCTGCAAATCCACATATAATGGAGAAACTCTGCCATTCAGAAAATTAGGAATATCATTCCCTCACCTTCAAATTAGAAAGATTTTTTTTTTGCTGTCAACATCTGAATAGCACTGCAGTGGAGCAAAAATGGAAGTCTAAGTTCATCCCTCTGATGAGAGCATAGAGACACTTTATTTTCACAGCCTCACTATGCTGTACATCTCAATACAGCATTCACTATATTTCAGAACTTCTACCCTTTCAGCTTTTAATCTAAGGGTTCCCTCTATGAATGTGCAGCACTGTCCATAAATTAAATTTGTTTTATCTATTCTACCTCAAACACATTCCCAACTTCCTTTTTCCTTAAAAAAAAAAAAAACAAAACAAAACACATCCTTCCTGTTGCTTGTCCAAATCTCTTCTTCTTAGCATTCATGTGAGTAATTGCATTTTAAGGAAAGGATTTGGGGGGTTATATATTATTCAGTAACCAAGCAGTTCACACATCTAATCATGGTACCCGAGTATTTGCAAGACTGCAATTCTACAGGCACATTCCAGCTGACACACAGTTCCATCCTGCAGCAAGACCTGGGCATCTTCAGAGTTTGGCTGTGCAGAAAGGAGACTAATTCCCATAGAAGAAAAAAAGAGCATTTTCCAAAAACTGAAGTCAAGGGACCAAGATACACTACTGTAGTTCCTAGCTCAACATCTTTATGATCATGCCATGAGTTTAGGAAATCTTTCTGTTCTAACCATTTCATCTTTTCCCATCTTCTCCTCTCCCTCTATTTTTGCTTGTAGAGCACATTAAAAAAAAAAAAAAAAGTCAAGAACCCCAGCATCTCATCTGAGATCCAAAGCAGCCTAAGAAAGGAACTGACTTGATGCTAGTGAGAAAATAAAATATAGAAAATATCTACTATTTTATTGGTGCATTTTGATATATGGCTGAACACAAATGCAGCTAGAAAGCAGGAAAACTATTTTATGATAACCTGCAAGTGTGATAAGTGGTTGGGATCAGGTCCTAAAGAAAGAAGTATTCTTGGCAGACCAGTAGAGCAGGTCAATAGAGGTGATACTGACAAAATACTGAGATAGCATTAGGTTAGCACAAAAAGTATCCCACCATAATCTATTCAGAGAAAGAAAAAAATCCCTAGCATTTCTAGATATAAATATTAGGAAAGTAAGCAACCTAAATATTCAGAACATCATGTTTAACCTTAATTTACTGTATAGGCTTAAACCATGTTTCTGTTGATTCTCTGAAAGAAAATTTTCATTGAGTGAAAAATAGACACTATTAATCAGATGATGAGGAAAAATTACCTGCAGTTTTGTTAGCTAACATCAGGGAACCCAGAGGGAACAAGAGTTTACTCAATGCTGCTAAAAAAGCATTTTTTGTCTTAAAAAGTACTTAATAATGTTGAACTACCATAATTATAAAATATGTCTTATTTGCAGAAAGTAAGAATATATCAAGCGTATGGCATCAGAAGGAATGGTGCCATTCAATAACGTTTTTATGTTATTGTAAGTAAATTTGATTTGTTATTTCTCACCATTCATTCTCATGCATTCTACAGATTATCATCTTGACAGCACAGCAACAATTTATTGTGAATCACTGCTAAATTACAATTTAGGTATTCCTACTGTAAAACATTCAGGTTGAGATATGTTGTCATTCACTGATATTGAAACTACTAAGGAAACTATTGCTTTACTTTGCAAAAGAAATCTGTTTTCATGATTTGTTCTCTTATGTTGCAGTTTTCAAATGGCAATTTGCCATTATTCTTCAAAATATCTTCCCACGACAGCTTGTTTCTACTGGATAGCAAGAGGTGAGCTGTCAGCTGTCAAGCATGAGTACATTATTCATATCCATGTTATGAAAGCTACAAAAGCTTCTTCAGATATTTTTGCAATTTAGTGCATTCATTATGGAAAAGAGCTTAAAGTGAACTTTAGTCCAGTTAGACTCTGGACAATCCAGAGATTAAAAGAGCCACTATGAATACCCAACTGCAGGAAGTATTCATAACTTATTAAACACTAAGGCATTCAATGATCAAAAACACAGACCCATAAAGTAGAATTCATTTGCTCAGCCGCTCAAAAAACAGTCTTGTTTTTGGTAAATTGGTATTTACCAATTTTCCAGTTTAATCTCTTACTGGTATTGATTTAATAATTTCATTATAATATATACAGAGGCTGGCATAATTGTACCATTCTTAGAAAGGAACTGAGTTTTCAGTTATTCAATCCTTTAACAGGATGGTAACAGAAACATCTTAAACCTGTGACTCATCTTCCAGTGGCAAGTCTGCTGACCACTTGAGCATTGCATATAGATATATATATATACACCCACACACACGAAACACCCACACACACACAGAGCACATATGGAATGTGGCACTGTCTCAGCACCATAGTCTGCAAACCAAAACTCTGTAATACTTTGCATTTGTGCTACAATATAGCTACAATCTAAGGAGATTTCTCTCCTTAGAGTTCACCAAGGCACAGCAGAAAGATCTCATAGTTCTCACAACTCTAATTCATACTTAAAACAAAGTAAGTCACATATCCAGAGCATCATTTTCCATTCAAACAGAAGAATGGAAGTGTTAACACCTGCACATTACTAGGATTGTTACAAGGCTTGTATACCTGGCAGTAAATTAAGACATACATAGACTGGAATAATTCCATTCTAGTATGAACAGTTACATGTCCAAAGAAGAAGTTTCTTATAGCAGCAACAACACAACTACTGGTTTAATTACCAGCTACTCCTGCTTTCCTGACCACCCTTTTCATCAGAAGCACATAAGCAAATCCTGTTTAATAACTTTAAGCAGGTTACACATATTTAGCTTGCAAGGTGGAAGAAAAGCTCCAACTTTTCTATTAAATATTTCAAAACTAAGTCAAGCTATTCACATTTCTTGGGGAGGATAAAGTAAGATTCCCAGTAATCAAAATAAATAAAGACCCTAGTGCATACAGAAAGAAAATCAATTTTATAGTGTTAATAAAATAACAGAAAAAAGTAGCTGTTTTTTATGTCTGAGATCTCATTCTCACCCACAAAAATGAATAAAGAAGGAACAGGCACCACTGCATAAATATTCCACCACCTCTGCTTTCTGTGAGTACAGTCTCACTTCAGTGTTTCTTCCCAGTTAACAATGAAATTAATTTTTGTATATTCAGCCTGTTATGTTTCCTTGGAATTTCTAGTCATGACTTCTGCAGAATTAAAACTCAGGGACTGTCAGCAATGTATCCAGAGCTCAGAATGAATAAAATTGTAATTCCAGGAATGTACTGATGTTGCAAATTAATTTGACATTCATTGTGATGAGTGATCAAGGCAAACTACTTTGCTGTTGTGCATGTGTTCAGAGGTATTGTCTGTCATAATAGCTATTTACATAGCTTTAGAAATCTAATGAAATCTACCAATCTCCCATTTTTGAACAACAGTACATTATTTTCTCTTTGTTTGAAAGCTTGGGTTGAAAACAGCACCAGGTTTACTTTCACCCATTCACATTCATTCACATGAATCTCAGATTTTCTGGTATTCACTACAATTGATCTTTTCTGATGCTTCTACAGATATACAATAAAGTGCATTTCTCTAATATTTTCACAGTATTCAACACTGTTCCAAGTTCACCCTCTTTCTTCCAGATTGCTAAACAGATTCAATGGTCAGCTAATCAGAAGAGCCAGAGAACCGTATTTCCAAGAACTTATTTTCACAGTGGGAACAGTTGCAAAGCTGTTACTTCCTAGTAACATATTTATTAATTCTGGCATATTTAGCAAATGAATAAACACATAATAAATTATTACTTCTAAACAAGCAAAGTTTCTGAGAGGTCTCTAATGATCTTTTCATAGAAATATAGTTACCTAAGCTGCAATTGTGTATCTCAGGTATAATTCCACAGAAAAAACAGTGTCAAATGTCAGTCATTACTCAGTATACCAGAGATACCAGTATTTGGCCAGTAACTTAGGGACTCTTTCTGTGTGTTTTTGTGAGAAAATCTGCATTTACATAAGAGATAATCTGTAAACATAATTTAAGTTCATTAAAGCATGTAAACACTATGAATTTGCTTAATTTACTTAAATGCATTGACTGATCAGAGGGCTAGAGCACCTCTCCTATGAAGACAGGGCTGGGATAGTGGGCTTTTTCAGCCTGGAGAAGAAAAGGCTCAGAGGATATCTTATAGAAGACATCAAGTAACTAAAGGTGTCTACCAGAGACCTGGAGACAGAATTTTCCCAAGGGCATATAGTGATAGGACAATGGGGAATGGTAGTGAGCTGAAGGAGGGCAGGTTTAGATAAGACATTAGGAATAAATTCTTTACTCTGAGAATTTATGAATCTCATAAATTCTTTATGAGGCACTGGAACAGGTTACCCAGAGAAGCTGTGGACTGCTCATCCCTGGAATTGTTCAAGACCAAGGTGGATGGGGCCTTGAGCAACCTGGCCTAGATGATGGTATTCCTACACATAACAGGGGGTTGCAACTACATGTTCTTTAAGGTCTCTTCCAATCCAAGCCATTCTATGATTCTGTGATCTTAGCCAAGGAGAATTCCACATACCTTCATCAGGAGTTTTGTGTAAGGGCTATAAGAACATGTCCCTGGTTAAAACAAGAGACATCAAGTAAAGACAAAATGTGAGAAGTATTTGCTTCTGGTAATAAGCAAGGTGGACCACAGTCAGTGCTACACAGCATTCCAATGTACCATTCTTCTTTCTAGAGGGAGTCCCAGACACTAGGGTAACACAATGGTTTGACATTCAGTGATGTGAATGTGCTAATGAACATGGCTGGTGATAATGTAGCAACTGCATTGTCTTTAACTCAACTCTTACATGTAGTTCTTCAGCTGGGATGGAATAAAATACCTATCAGTTCCTTTTCTGTGTATGAATTAATCTAAGCAAAGGGGAGGAGATACTGTTGAGTTCATAATATTGAATACCGTAACACATTTGTCTCAAAAACTGCATTACATTAACTGAGAATAATGCAGCCTTTATTCTTTCATACATATATTAGCTTAATGAGCCATTAAAGTGTCTAGTATTTAAAGCATAGAAAAAGATCTATAGTTTAAGCTTCAGAAGTCATCCAAATATCTTACAAGTGCCAATAGTACTCTCAATAGGAGAAATTTAGCCTTTCATTTATTTTTCAATCGCTCTTTCATTTTATTCCATAAAATGCATTTATATACAAAGAAGGCAGTTGAAATATTTAATACTGAATCAAGTAATCTAAGTTAGAAAAAGCAAAATGGGACCATATATGTTGGATAATACCCT